TGTTAGCCCAGGGACAAACTGATTTACACCCTTAAGTGTGTAAAAACTTTTACTGTGTACTCAAGGCTTCTCTTTCCCATTAGTGCCAGTAAGCTTGTGTAAAGTGAAAAATATTGTAACTGAACAGTAGAGAGTTTTAGTAGATCGCTCCCATGACTCCGATAACGATACCCGATACTCCGCCATAGCCTCCCTTGCGCGTGCATTGTATCGTTATCGGGGCTATCGGAGGTATCGGAACGATCTACTAAAACGCTCTATTGTTGCACTGTCCCTTCACCTAAAGTTATTTCTTTTTATATTTTTTTACTGCTGCACTACCGGGGAATCTTAATGGTGGGACAACATACCATCCCTGAACCCACGACGACTGGAATGGTGGTCGTAACCAGCGTCGTAAGACCAGTCTTGGGTAAGTTACTTCTAAAAAGTAATTCGTTACAATTAGTTACTTTAAGAAAAAAGTAGCGAAGTTACCGTTACAGTTACCGCAACAAAAAAGTAACTCGTTACAGTTACAGTTACTTTTAAAAAGGAACGACGTTACTTTTCAGTTACTTTTTTGTAACACAAAAAAATTAGGAAAAACTAGAAAACGCTTTTCACCAAGTTTATTTGCATAAAATTAAAAAGTGTGCTTTTTAAAACTTCATATTCTAACTTAGCCGCAGTTGCTTCTCGAAATTAGTGTCTGAAAGTTTCCCTGGTTTGATAACGAACACGTCCCTGCCCTTGTTGAACAGGCGCTCGTCTAACGCGCTGGATGGGATTGCCGTGTTGTTTCGCCGGAAAAGGTTTTTGATTGCCGGGTAGGCGTTGAGGCAACAGAGTGCCGTTTTCTGCGGTCAAGATGTTAGTAACCACCTCCACCACAGCAAAATACGCTCTGTAAGCCGGCCATGGAAGTTCTTCTTTGTTATTATCAACATTCATATCCTTGGTAGCACTAGCACATTGCTGGCTCGTTGACAGTTGCGCTAGGTTCATAGAGTCTTTGGACTTATTTCAGTTTGTACCCGGCAAGCCGGAAACAAACCCCGCGCAAACAGCAGTAAATTTTGCCTCGACTGTTGACACTACACCGGAGTAGTGGCGCTAATCATAATACGAAACATTCGTCCGCGCGTATTGTTGTTTCACGTTTGATTCACCCGATTAAATATCGTTTGCACAGAAAAAAGAAAAACCGCAGAAGAGATAGTTCTTCAAGATATTAAGATGCAAGTGTTCCGTCACAAAGTACAAGCGCGTGCTAAAGATAACTACTTTTTTTTTTCCACCAAATCTACACGTGGCTATATTCGGGTCTTGACTGGCGAGAAAGAACGTATTCACAAGTCTGTGCAAAAAATAACTTGACAGTCGAAATGTCGGAACAGACAATTTGGAAAGCGCAAAGAATGGCTAAATTGTACTCGTTCAGTGACATATTATTCATAAAAAACTGGAAAGTAACGACAAAAGTAACGTCGTTACTTTCATCGTTACCTGAGAAAAAGTAATAGAACTACAGTTACAAGTTACATTTTTAAAAAGTAACTCGTTACAGTTAGAAGTTACCAAAAAAGTAACGAAATTACAGTAACGCGTTACTAGTAACGCGTTACTACCCAAGACTGCGTAAGACTTAGTACTCAAAAAGTCCAATAAACATTGAGCAGCCTTGCAGCAGCTTCGCGTGTCATTACTATGTAAAAGTTTCTGGGGTTGAGTTCTCAAACTTGACCTCCCGAAACTCTTGAGTCTTCTGAGGAACACCCAAATTTTCTGGCAGTCTGTGATAAATTATGTAATAAGTGTATAACTACAGCCACTTTCGGCCAGTGACTGGCCGGAAGTCAATGGCTAGTGGCTGGCCAAACGTGAATGGCCAGTGGCTCGCCGAAAGTGACTTGCCAAAGGTGAATGGCAAGTCACTGGCCTAAAGTGAATGGCCAGTCACTGGCCAAATATGGATGGCCAGTCATGGCCAAAGGTGAATGGCCAGTCTCTGGCCTAAAGTGAATGGCCAGCCACTGGACAAAGGTGAATGGCCAGTCACTGGCCTAAAGTGAATGGCCAGTCACTGGCCTAAAGTGAATGGCCAGTCACTGGCCTAAAGTGAATGGCCAGCGACTGGCATAAAGTGAATGGCAAGTCACCAGACGAGGACGAAAACACTGCTATTGCCGAGCACTTTGGCCAAGCTTGGGCCATCGAAAATCTGGGTGGCCATAGTACACTTGCCAGCGATGGCCCATTCACAATGTGCTGCTTGGGATCGTCACCACTGGCGTCATGACAGTGTATTGTTAACACGACTGTGCATTGGACATACACACTTAACACACTCACATCCCTTAATGGGCATTGAATTTCCTACCTGCGAAACATGTTATTCAGACCCTACAGTAATGCATCTCTTTGTTTGCCGGAAGCTCGAACCTTTCCTTAAACAACTTTTAGCACCACTGAAAAGATTTAACATTTCATTTCATCCGTGTTTGGTGTGAGGTCCTGTACCTCAGGTCCCGCTCAAAGACTTATTCACATTCCTTCAAAAAAGTGGCCTCAAGTCACTTCTCTAATATACATGAATTTTCGGAGCCCTTTGCACTCATTACCCATTTATGTATAAGCTAAACACAGCACATTGGTTTTACCCATACGCACTAACATACTACATATTAATTAGCTAAAGAGGATCGTGGCGCTTTTTGGCCCTCGTGTTGCCCTTGCGCCATAAAACCTCACAACATCATCCTTCTAGCGAACCAAATCGGAAGCCAAAAATCCAATCCACTTAAAAACAAATATTACTTTGTCGACGAAACGTCGCAGTTCTATGTGTTTACAAAACAAGTTTCCACAAAACATCCCAGTGTCGACGAAACCTATGTTAATGTAATATGTCAATGAAACGTGTGTCCACGAAACGTGTTTCGGGGAGGCGTTATGGACCCTGCCAAGCACACGCATTTGGGCAGTCAAAGGGTTTTTCAAGGCAGCATGCAAGCGCGTATTGCTTCCGCTTCGCTCCCACCTTTGGTGGAACACAGCTTCCCTTCTGCATATACGCAGTGCCAATCACTTTCGACGTGATCAGACGCTCGTTTATCAATGTTTATTTGGATTATACACATTTCTATAAAGCGTTTGAGGGCACGTTCATTGCTGTGTTTGTGTGTTATGCATGCGCACTTTCTGGCTGGTCGCAAATGCGCGCAAGCGCTAGCTGGACTGTGGTTTAGCACGTGTGGACTGTGATGTCTGTAAACAGTGGAACCGTCTATAGTTTACACTGTGATACAAATTAGATTTAAAAAAAAACCTACACTACCAGTTGCGTGTGCCACAATCAACACATAATATCCGCGTGTGACCGTTCGCGTGGGTAAATGTACAATTGTGACGGTGTAAAATCAAGTGGCGAAATGTCGCACTCAGAGCGCGCTTTATGGCAAGCTATTGACCGAGAAAATTTTTACATTCATCGTGTGGATATTTTCATCAACCCAGAGTTAGAATGCTTCCATTTGTTCTATTGCAAACAATCAGAAGACGCAGATTACACCACGTCGGAATGTAATAAAAGACCATGGAGATGCAAACGTTACAGCCTGAGCAGTACGTGTACAAGCTTTAGCTTTTCATTCGCTCAAGAGTTTAAAATATGTCGCTCTTCCAGTCTTCATCATCGCGCGCGACATCCGTACGTACACAATATTTGACATAACATCACCTCCACCCCTTGCAACTTTGTTTTAATTTTTGCACACCCCTAATTTGTCCGCCCAAATCACCAAACTAATATTGCTACATTTCTTAATCTCTGTGTTAGCTACCCATATAATAATAATTGGTTGGCTGCAGTCATTGTACCTGTCCCAGCTGCACTCAGTTCTAAATGAAATTTTGATAATTGGTGTACTTCTCTAACATCGGCACCACTCTTGTTATGTTGTATGCCTAAGTCCTTTGTGACAGTTGTATTATGTGTTCACTAAACTGAATATCTGGAACATCTAAAGCTAAATTTTTTTTTGTGTTTTCTAGTCTCACGGTTAAATTAAAAATTGCAGTGACATAAAATGAGAAACATAAACAAAATAAAATAGTTTGTTTGTTTTTACTTCTTGATGTATTTATTTCATCAAGCTAGAATTATAGAAAACCACGTCTATTACGTCATCACGTCTTTCGTTGAAATCTATAAAGCGCCAAACACGCGTGCACGATAAAGCGGTCGACCCGTCGTACGAGTTTGACCACGTTGAAGGACGTGTAATTGGCGTCCGAGATCTTCGGGCTGATGAAAGCATGCGCACCGCCAATTTCAAATTTCCGACTTGTCGGTTCTATTGTCCTGCGTGCACCTCGCCATTAGCTATAGACGATTTTCACGTTTTGTTCTGACCACATTTGCTGGAGACGCGAACTCATAGCGTAGGCAACCGCTCCCTTTGCACGAGAATCGGTGTGTTCCACTGAACGCTCGCTCATCAAGAAACAAGGGAACGGCCAGGGATGTCAATTTCAGGAGAAAGAAAAATACTATACTGTATCGAAGCGCAACCACACGCGATTTATTGTGTTCGTGCACAAGTCCGGAAGGCGATCCATCACCATCTGTTAGTTCAGAATCACACTAACCAAGAATGGGGTTTATCGTTAAAGCGGGGGCATGCGGCCGCGTGTCATATTGATGTGACGTATTACCTTTCCTCGTTCATTACCTCCCCCTGTAAGTGTCGTATAAGTCTTTAGCACCCTTTGTATTGAAGAGACAAATTGCCATACCGATAAATTAATGCCTCCTTGTCGCCTCTGTGATAACGACCTGCATTTAACACATTGGTATCAATAATGAATAAAAGGACACCTTTCACCCACGTCCTCCAATATCGGGCTGTTAAGACGTAGCAGCGATACGAACTAGCTCCCTCCTCCCGACAGTTTGGCGTCCCTTTAAGGAGCTAAGGCCCTAACCGGTTACAATCTGATAAGAGGTCCAAGTCGCGATGACCTGGCTGTGCTTGTGCCTCTGTTGTTTTGCTCTTCAAACAGTTTCAGCAAGGCCATTTCACTCCAACCAATTCTTCTATGATCCCAACAATACGGGTAAGCGTAATTCTTACTTGATGTCGCCCGATGAGAAGCAGCATAACCTCATACCATCAATATTCAGACTTTGCTATTTTGTACTAGGTTTGTTAGCGTCAAACTGCAAGTATATTTCTGCCCCTCCTCCCCCCCCCCCCCCTCCAAAAAAACAAAAAAAACAAGCTGAAGTTTTTTTTTTTCCTTTATGTTCTTTTGCTACTACGTAGGCTTTCGTTCTGCGAAAGTCATTGTGGTTGTGAAAGAATTGAAATGTTCTTACCTGCCTTCATTTGCTGAAGGTTCAGTCAACGTTGTGTATTGCTTCCATGGGGAATAGCTTTCATATGATCAAAAAGTGAAGTCAAGTCTCGAAATCTGAGGGGCAGTTCGCCGTTTTCGACTTGAACAAACCGTGAAATGGAACAAAATGGAAGACATTTGTGCGTCTCTGTAATGCGAAATTAGAGCGCAGCTCTCGAGCTATTTTGATTTTGCGATATACCGTGCTAAACAATTTAAGGTGTATATGTATATATATGGGGGGGGGGGGGGGGGGTACTGGGAACCCAAGGAGCGACAAGCGCCTTTGATGGTGACCAGGTTCGTTCTGCCGGGCGCTCATCACGAGCACCGGCTAGCCCCGAGGGCCTGGTGACGATTTTATTATCTTCTAAAGGGGGGGGCTGTGTCCAAGGCTTAGTGGAGTTTGATTAGATGGGCCAACGCGCCAGTTCTTGTTGCACATCACCACGCTGTCCACCATTCTGCCGAAGCGGCTGAAGTAGTTCAACAGGGCATCCTGTGTCGTCTCCCAGCTGAGACCACCGACAGATATTTTATCCTCTTCTTCGGTGTTCCGTCGTGCCATCGCTGTGTCGATTTGAAACTTGGAAACATGACATTCGCTAGTGGCCAGAAGGTTGAGGCGTGTGCAGAGATATGGTCGGGGAGGCAAGTGTGGCTAGTCATCGTCGATGCAAACGTTGTCAGAAGGATGGGTGCGCAGTCTTTCGGGGCATGATCTGGAAACAACAATCAATGCGGCCACCACATGCACGGACGTGAAAGGCCGAATGGATGTCATTACGCTGCCAATATGGTGTTGCTGGTGCTCGATGTGTAGGTCCCCTCGTGAGCGCCGGCACTTGGAGATAAGGAACACTCCATAAAGAACGCTCTGCAAGGAGCACACAGCGTCGGTTTCTCCTCGTCCGTGTAGACACAGGGCGCATCTTGGGCGCTCCGCTCTTGTAGAATGCGGCCCCGAAACGGCGGCCGAATCAAGTCCGTGAGGCACCTGGGGCTGATGGTCCAAGTTCGGCCTGGATGCGAACGCCACAAGTGTATTCTGCTCCATTATGCACCAGGTGGCCGCCTCGCCGCTTTGGGTACTGCGTCGCCAGAATGTCCGGTGGAAAGCCGGCCTTCGGGAGCACTGGCGTGGCTGTGTGATGTTCGAGCCATGAAGGGAACGGGACCGGTTGTGGAGTTGGGGCCGCGGGGGGTTATGTTGGGCTCCCAGCATATCTCCGGGTGAGCGGAAGCGTAAAGCGTGGTTAATTAGAAGAGCTATGACTGTTATTTAGAAGCCGTCACGTGCATCCCGTTCAATAAAGGGTCGCAAGCCGTTAATGGTAGTAAGTCCGGTGATAGAAACTGCATCTCGGCATCAGAGTCGGTATGCTAAATGCGAAACGCGTGCTGCGACTACGAGAGGGCCTTCCCATCGCCTGGCTAGGGAAGCTGGGAATCCTTTATCGGCGCACTGAGCGGGTGGGTTCGGCGGAAGACTAGGTCTCCGATAGAGAATTGTACGTCCTTTCCACCTTCGTTCTATTGCACTCTTAGATGGGGCCGGCTACTGGGCCGCCCATAGCCGTGACAAGTTAGATACAACTTTCCACGGTTTAATAGCCGTGACAGCATATCACGGTTCTCTAGCGGTGAAAGTTGGATCTCGGTGTCACGGTTATATTACCGTGACATTATGTCACGACTAGATAGCCGTGACAAGTTCGATCTCGGTGCCACGGCTGTATTGCCGTGGCACCGAGATGTCACGGTTATATTTCCGTGACATAATGTCACGGCAATACAGCCGTGATATCAGATCCAACTTCTCACTTTATATTTGTGATATCTCAAGTCAATACAAGCGGCCCATATTCAGTCGATCTGTTGAAGATGGCCGTCCAGTTTGCTGCCTTTTTTCGGCCGGCCGTTTGTACACTTTCCAGCACCCATGGATCTTACAAAGAATGACAAAACCAGCGACTCACACCGTTACAAACCTATTTATTAGATTAAGCCGAATGTTCCTGTTGGCATACTTTATAATAACATAAACAACACACTCAACGACTTATGTAAACCAAAGTGTTGTACAGGGTTTACGCTTAAAACATAAAACTAGAAAGCAAGCGTTTTTTTTTTACCTTAAGTGACACCATTAAAATAGAAACAAAAACTTAATTTTTGAGAGTAGTTATTTTCCAACAGGTTACTTTGTCAACCCGAAAAATATCATGTTGGGGAAGACTGCAGCCAGGTGAATAGTGCATGATAAAGACTGCAACCAAACATTCCGAGCTCCGGAACTGTATAAAAAAAAGCTAATCAGTTATTGAACGAATCGTATACCATTTCGTCACACGAAAGTTAAATGCACAGCAAAATCTCGCAATTCCTGGCCGGGTTCTAAGATTATCACAAGGTCAGCGTGAGCGCTTTTCAAACCCACATATGTTAGATATCGTTTTTTTTTTTTTTCTTTTTGTTTTGAGCATGCAGATCCTTCGACCTCGGCGTACTATTTCAACAATACTGGGGTGGTTATTTATAAGGTCAGATAATTGGTAATCAAGTTTGATCGAATAATTCACCAAAACGATGAATTATTAGAGCTCCCCTCTGAACACCCGTCTTGAAAAAAAAGTCTGATTTTGCTTGTTTTATCATAGATCGAAATGCAGTCAAAAATTATAAGGTACAGTAGCACAAACACGCGTACTAAAAGCGCGACGCCATGGTGCATGGGTTTCGCATGATCGCTTTTGCCGGTGACAACAAACGCACGATAAGACGTTCAGCGCCGTGACATAGCATTTTTTGGCTCTGCTTGATTGACCTCATTGACCTGGTATGTCGGCTGCGCTCTGACTTACAGCGAAAATGAATTTGAACGTTCATGTCGTGCAGAAGCTCTTTTATTCACGAAATGCTGACAAGGCGTGTCTTATATAGGTTCTTAATCGTTTATTAACATTCTTCACTGATTGACTGACTATCTTTTTAATTTTTGAATAGTTGAAACGATAGCTATTGGCTCGTGAGCCTCCAACGAAGTCGCTTTGCCAACCCTGCAGCGCGGAACAAAGCCAGTATCAAAAAAAAATTTTTTTGCCCAGCTAGGCACTCTCGATCGGGTCGATAAGCTAGCTGGGCCCCGCTTCTGTGCGAACTGGGCACTGCTAGCAACAGCGGGCGTTGGACCTAGCACCAGGTCCAACGCCCTTCGTCCGCTGCCACCCGCTAGTCCCACGATACGCGAAACGACGCCATGTTGAGAATTAGGCAGTAAACGCACAAAATTCTTCCGGCTGTCTGTGCTACCTTTTTTTTTTTTTCAGTCAGCGTATTTGCGGCTTTTTGGAAGCCACAAAAAATGGGTTTCATTTTTTTTTTCTATTTTCAATATTGACTGTGTGCCTTCAATGATCCACGACTTTGATTAAATTTGGTGGCCGCGTCGAAACCTTAGAGAACGGCCCGTGACCACGGGAAAGAAAGTGAGCGCGACTCAAACCGGCCAGTTCTCGATCAGCGATTTTCGGGCGGAAAGAAACCGAATTGCGAGCCGCAAATTCTGTTCTGGGTAGTTGGGCTCTCATATGTCACGTATAACTAAAAACCTCGGCGAGCATAAATACCCTGTCAGTGTCCCTTTAATAGCACACACTTGGATTCAAAGCCCCTTGATGTCAAGTACTTCATCAAGGCGTTTATGTGGTTTGGCACTTTGTTCTGACTGGTTGCGTCTTTTTCGCCATTGACACTGAGATTGAAACATAACTGTACAGTGATGCGCACATTCTCGTTTACCGGTGATTTGCAAAAATGACGGTGCCCCATGAAATACTGCAGACCACAGGTTCGTTGCCGCCATTAGTATGATAAAAGTTAAACTGCAATTTGAGTCGCCAGATGGCATTGAATTCCGAAAAGGGTCTACTGGTTCAAACTTGACAACCACCATAGGTGATCCGCGTGCTGCAGACAGATGCGAGAGAGAAAAGTGGGGAGGAGGCCCGCCCGTAAAAACTGCGTCGCGCGGCATAAATATTGCTCGAATTAACTTATCTTTTCGTGAAAAATATATTTTGACCAGCGCTTCGTATTGAGGCTGTTCGTAAAAAAAAGTGTTTGCGCTGGAGTGCCCCTTGGGCGAGGTGATCATAAGAATGCATTTAATGAATCCTTGGCTGCAGTTCCACGGCAGACATTGAGGGGATGAAAACTTCTACGTTTAACTTACAAGCAAATGCGATATTATGTAAGGATCCGTGCTTCTCTCAATAGCATGATAACATTTGGAGGCGTGTACAAGAAATACCGTATTATAGGAAGAAAAGAAACTAATGTTGGCAACTGGTGACAATCTTTGATTAAGCTTTTTACTACCTATTAGCTGGAGCCTTTCAATTTACAAGGTACTGACACTTATCATGAAACTACTGCCTTGAATGACACATTACACAAAGAGTTCTAAGATACATGAACAACTTCTTAGGCATAAGAATTGATATTCAACTTTGTGCAAAGCTTAATCCCAAAATGTCTACGCTCAAAACGCATTTACGGTACAGCCATATTAAAAACAAATACCCGAAAATACAGAATGCCCCCCCCCCCCCAAAAAAAAAAAGAACAAACAATTACATGCCAAAAAAGCCCGCCGAATTTAGAAACCTCACGGGTCAAGTTGTACCTAGTCTCAAAACTGTCTCTCACTGGTAACT